GGTGTGAACCCACGGTTAAAATATGAGTGAAATTGGCCAAAATGTGTGCAAATTATCAGGCGTCGAAGTTTGATGGTCACACCGTTTGATCTTTTAAAAAGCTTTTAACAAATTTTAATGTCCCACTTGTCTAGATGATACAGAATGATTCTGGTGAGTCTGGGTCAAACGCCCTAGGACGTGTTCGTTCAAATATGAGGACAGGAATTTGTGCCTTCATCGCCAGGTCGCACGATCAATCCAATATGGCCGACTTCCTGCTGTAATATACTTTTTTGTTCCTATTCCCATGATGCATCTGTGTACCAAATTTGGTTTAGCTACACCAAAGTTTTTGTTGGGCGTCCTATTGGCGAGGTCAGATGTTTAGCCTGTCACCGTGGCAACATGATGGGGAAATGGCATGGGGTCGTCCTACACTTTTTTGATCGAGACCATGTCATGAATCTGTGTACCAAATTTTATATGTCTACGACAAAGTAAATTTTGGCACTACCGTGCAATTTCCCTAGGGGGCGCTATTGTGCCCACCTGAGAGTTTCTTATATAAATCTGTTCAGGGTCGGGGTGTGAACCCACGATTAAAATTTGAATGAAAACGGCCAAAGTTTGTGCCAGAATTTGTAGATTTTACCAATGGAGAGTTTATGTCATCGCTATGGCAACGGCATAAAAAATATGACATGGGTGTCATTGAGTTATCAGGATGTCAAAATGGAATTTTGTGCAAAATTTCAGAAATTTTTGAACAACTATTTGGGAACAAATGATTTTCTCACATATTAAATTTTGTTTCAATCTATAGGGGGCGCTAATGTGCCAAATTAATAATTTTCACATGAAGTAGCTTCAGGGCAGAGAGTTTAACAACTGTTTAAATTTTCATTGAAATCGGAGTTCGTTTGAGCAAATGGGAGCAATTTGTAAATCTCCAAAATTGTGTGCATTTTTTGTTGCTTCACTGTTCAGAGACCGTAAGACGTGTGTGAAAAAATTTGGATAACTTTCGATGTTCCACGTCTTGAGATAATGTGGACCAAATTTGAGCTCGTTCGGGTGAACGCCCTCGGAGGAGTTCGTAAAAGCTTAGCCAACTTTAAGCTAATATTACTGCCCCCTAGTGGAGCACACGGTGTTGGTGTAATAATATGTGTAATAATATTTTTTTATATTTCCTTGTCTTGACATGATCGACTTCTGTGTCAAATTTTATGATTGTACCTGCAAATTTTTTTTGGTGTCATTCGTATTCCCTAATGCATTTTTGAGTCGTTTGGGGGTGCTGACGAGCCATTTTATTTATTTTTGGTAAATGAAAATAGCCAAAAGTTAGAGAAGCGCGAGTTTTACCAGATGGCAAAATTTCAGGACTTTTCGTCATTGTTCAGTGGGTGAAAAATGGGTGAGTTGGTTAGGAGAATAACCAACCGATACGAGAACAATGTTCCGCTTTTTTTTGGCTGACAAACTATACATTTTCGGAAACCTCATTGCTACGTGATGGCGAGGGTCCCTGGTCACTACGGGCGAGTCACGTCGCGCCATTCCATTTTTCGGCCACTTGGAGCATCGCTTTGCGATACTAATAGGCCCTTCGCCAGTCTCTGGCACTCGGGCCTAACTAATAATGGAAAAGCAAAGCTAGAACAAAATGCAGTTTAGATGTCCCAATAAGGCAGATTTATTCTACTGAAAATCAATATTCACCTTAATAATATGACATTGATCAACAATATAGTACATTTAATGCAGAATTACAGTACTTTTTTTTAAAAGATTTTTATTGGCATGAAAAATAGTTTTATTTTCGTTAGTATGGTTAAACATGGATGTAAGATGAAGCTAAAAAACTGCTCTTCATATTATTTGACATGAGTTCTTGATTAGAATTTCACAGTCAAAACATGGCTGCTGGGACACCAGAAGACACCATGGAGATGATTTCTCTAGCCTTATTTATACTCATTGGACACTGGACTGAACCTTGGTTGAAGAGTAGGTGAAGAACTTACCATTTAGTTTGCATATAAACTTTGGCCTTCTTTCTTCAGGGAGATAAATTGCCACATAATATACAGGAATACCAGACAGAGCAATGCCGATCCCAATGAGGGAGTTGACTGTGTCCCAATAGAGCGGAACAATGACCAGGAACAGGCTACAGAGGCAGTAGATGTATGGGAAGAACAGACTCAGCTGTAAACAAATTGTAATGTGCTGTTAGTTAATATAAAGCTTTTACAGGCTAAAATCATTCATCAGTGTTTTTTTCAAAGTTGTAATCATATTTTATGAACTCTAATGTGCAGAAATTGTCCCAAAATTATTTCATGCTTACACTTCATGTTCTTCTAGATTTGCTGGGCTGTCTAAGAGCTTCTGATAGTTTATTAAAGAAGACATATTATGCTTTTTAGTGATGAACTATACCATAAGTAAATTATCATTTGACATTTTGCACAGAGGATTGAACTGATAGCACCCTCTTCTTTGTCTTGGCATTTCATTTACATTATTTAATTTTTTAAAATGTCTATGTGTGTTATATCTATTGTCTTCCTTATTGTCTGTTTAATACTAAATAAATAAATACATAAATAAAAATGTCTACATGACATTTTAGAACCCTACATGTATCACTCTCTTCATCTTTCAAATAATCACAAAGGCCAGGGCTATGGGCACGGTAGGAAGTATTTTCTCAGCACTCAAGCATGAATGAAGTACAACACAGGATCACTCAAGCATGCGTGAAGAAATACAGCTTTGAGTAAACAATGAGGGAAAACCATGGTTACAAGCTAATATAAGCTGATATTGCGTAATATGTCTTCTATAAAATATATTTGCTTAGTACCTTGACAGGTCGGTGTCTGTCAGGCTGCGTGTAGCGAAGGTAGATGAGACCAGCCACTGATAGCCCCACATAGAGCCAGTAACTGAAGCTGAAGTAGTTTATCAGCTGGAACACGTCCTCCACACAAAGGAAGATCAAACCCATAACACCCTATGGAGTGACACAATCTTAGAGTTACTTTATTTTGAACATTTAAAATTTTAAGAAAGCACAACCTTAGTCTCTATACTTGGAACAACATTCAAATCATGTACATTTAAAGAAAAAAATCGTTAAATTAATAATTACTACTAATATGTAATAAAGACAAAGAATCATTTTAAACATAACTTTAGAGCTTAAAGAGGACCCCCTCCTCTGGTGGCGCAGTCATTTGTAAACATTCACTATTGCCATTGTATGACATACACTTACATTGAAGAGCAGTGCAGGTATGGGGGTAAATCGCTCTATATGAATCAGGCTCAGACTGTTCGGCAGGTGGCCCTCTCTAGCTCCAACAAAAAACAACCTGAAGCCAAAATAAACACAAAAAGAGAAACACCACTTTATAACATACATCACAATTTTCAAAAAGTTCAATTAAAATAGTTTAGTATTTTCTGTTTACCGTGATGCTGCGATGACAGATGCATTGAGTCCTCCATAACAGGACATGGCCACAGAAATGGGAATGATCCACTTAAAGGGGCCCATGACAGCGTTCCCAAATGTCTGTGTGGACAAGAGTCATTATTTACAGCTTGTTTTCACCTCAGTGAGTCTAAAGGTCATGGTTCAACAACATTATACTTAGCATCAGGTGAATTGTGAGGACTAAATTTGCATAGAAATGTTCTACTTTCTTTTACTGAACTACTTTACAATGTCCATATATGAATCAGTGAGATTTCAGCCCTGTGTATCTAATAGTTTGTATTGTTTTTAAATGCACAGGTTTGCAAGCTCTTACAGTTTCTTACTACAAAATACTAAACAAATATAAAGTTCATTTCAAACAGTAAATGCAAGTCACATATTATTAACCCAAATATGTTTTGTATTATATATTTGTGTAATCTCATTTTGACCTAAAACTTTTACTTCAAAATATAAACATCTACCCCTAAATCCATGAGACTGATCTTACCACAGCCACAGCATCACTGGCGAGCAGAGAGGGCATGTCCAAAACCACGTAGTACGCCACATTGGTCAGCAGGTAAATAACCGTCACTATGGGCATGGAGATGGCAATGGCCAGGGGAAGGTTTCTATAATTAGATGACAAACCACAGTTGAATCACATCTGTTTTTATGTTATCAGTGATGATCTAATTTGGGCTGTGCATCAAATTACTGAAGAGTCAGTCATTTCTAATAATCAATGACATGTTCTTTTGTCAGTAAAAGCATGTGGTTTGGGGTTTAGACTTCAGAGAAATGCAACTATTGACATTCAAAATTCATTTTCTTAACTTTTTCCACCCTGCGCTAATCTAATTATTAACCTTGATAAACAGCAATGACTTCATACCTCTCTGGGTTTTGTATTTCTTCAGTGACAAAGTTGAGTGTGTCCCATCCGGAGAAGGAGAAGAGAGCAGAGTACAGGGCCAGTGCTAAAGCCCCTGGATCAGTGTTTGAGTCTTCAAATGGACTGTCAAAGCTCTTTGTTTCACCTGTGGCCCAAATATAGGCTTTATTAACTGTTCAGGCCCAGCCATGTCAGGCATGATGCAGACCTATACGAAAACTCACCTGTCAATATTGTCAGAAGACCCACCACAATAATGAGAAGGAGGGCCAGCAATTTGGCATAAGTGAAGATATCCTGAACCAGAGTACCCCACTTCACATAGGCACAGTTAATGAAAATAAGCATGCCTGCACAACAGAAACAATATCTTAAAATGATAAAGAAATATCTGCTTATGTACAAACTAGTTATATTGTAATTTTACTTTGATTCAAATAATTTTTTTACAAAAATAAATACAGAATATGCATTTCTTTGGAGTATCTTCATAACAACAGTTATTCAACATACATTTTAAAACACATACTTAAATATATTAGTTCTGGTTTAATGATCAGAAAAAAGTGAAATGAATTGCATAAATATCACTTCACAGTTACACTCTTATTTGAAAGACAACAACATAACAACATAGGCTCAACACATTAGCTCTTTTTGCAGCATTTTGAGTCATTAAAAACAATTGATCTTTACATATCTTCAGGACTACATTTATGATATTATCAGTACTTCAATATGTTGCCTACTTCTATAGCTGTGTTTACATAGAGAAGACTCATGCCAGAGGTATGCTTGCTCTTTCACCTAAATACCATCTCAACTTCTGCCACACAAAGCCGACATGTAGTGGCCTATAGACATAACTAGTGTCACTTGGTTCTGCTTTTAGATTGAAATTATTCAAGGGCACAGTTAGAGTTCATACTGAGGCTTTTGTAAATGATGAGCTATTGAAGGTACGTAAGCTAATAGTTGGTTTGTTGTTAATGATTACATAGGTGTCAATGGTGAAAAAGGCTTTTTGTGTCAGGAAAGCCATTCAGCATGTTTACTTAAATTGCCCTTGGGATCAATAAAGTATCTATCCATCTATCTATCTACATTGTAATATCTATCTTCTCTTAAGTGTAGTTTGCAGATGTGTTGTATCAGGAGGACCTTTCAGTGTGTTTAGATTACTTATAATATTTTTTGCTTCTCAATCTCTGTGTGTAACATATGTGTAGTGTCAGTGCTTCTCACAGAGGCAAGCTGCAGCAATGAGGCGCACGCCGTCATACGGGGGCTGGCAGGTAGGGTAGAAGGCCTCCACCAAGTAGTTTGCAAAGGTCAGGGAGATGATGGCCTGGCTGGCCGGCTCTACCAAGAGAATAGACGTCCAGAGGCGAATGAAGGCCAGAAACCCACCAAAAGACTCAAGGATGTAGGCATATGAGGCTCCAGATTTAGTGATAGTGGTGCCAAGCTCTGCGTAACACAGTGCCCCAAACACAGAAAACAAACCTCCCAGTGCCCATATGAGCAGAGCCAGCCCGTAGGAGGCGCTATAAAGGAGGACTCCCTTTGGAGAGACAAAAATTCCAGAGCCAATCATGTTTCCAACTATAAGACAGATCCCATTGATGAGCGAGATCTCCCTCTTCAACTGCATTTTCTCCTGTTTGGGGTTCTTCAGGTCCTCATCTGACGGGGTCCGAGCCCGAGGACAAATGGTTTGGGACACAACCCCCATCGTATGCCTAAAATCAGCCAGCTCCAAAGGAGAAACTGAGAAAAAAACACATACAAAATAAAAATGGTAACACTTTATAATAACTATTTACTATTTACAGCCTTAATAATGCATGAAGAAACACTTAATTCATACTGATCAAATAGTTTTATTAAGAATGATTCAGGATTAGTAATGCTTAATAAAGGCCATTAAGTAGTTACTAAGTCTGAATCATTCTTAATAAACTACAAGTTCATTATGAGTTAAGTCTTTGTTCATGCTAATAAAGGCATAGTTACCAAAATAAGAATAGACCATCAGTACTATCTACAATGTGAACAGCTGTAGTATAGAAAAGGCATAACAGCTGCAGGAGATTAACACCCATTCAGTAAACAGTACTCTTACCTATTTGAGAAGCAGATCCAAGAGAACCTCCTGTGCTTCTTATGGACCAGCTTTGGAGAGAAGTCACATCAGCGACGAAGCAACAGGTCTGAAGATGTTGCAATGGGCACAGAATCCAAGCACAACCACTAACAGTGTTTTTCTCAGTCCGCACAACTGCACTCTCGAGTTCCGTACTGGGCTATTTTAAGAGATATGCAGTCCTCGTCTCAGCCCCCAGACAACATTTAGACGTACAGTGGCTTTTCCTGGGTCAACAGTTACATTATAAGAGAATACACTTGTGTAAACAAAATGACAATGAAATGGTAAAAAAGACATAGCTAAGAAATAAAACATAGCTTTTTATTGACTAAGAAGATGTAAGGTTGATAAGGAAGCTAAGGTAAGGTTGTACTATTCAAAAGCTACACATGGACTTACTATGACAATGATATCTAATTGACATCTTATTACTTAGACATTTTTTTTTTTTACAAATAAACAAGAATGACATAATAATATGTATAAAAGGGCAAACAGTATCTATAGTACAATGTTACGATTTGTGACAGCTTTCAAGGCTCAGCTCAGTTGAGTTTTATCTGATGTTGAAGGTTAAAATACTTAAGATTGAGGCACAGTTACTGAGCAAAAGGCAGTTTTGTGGAAGCATTCATCTTGTATTTGTTCAGGTTCTACTGTGATGACTCAGCATTCACTGCACCTACCCCTAATAATTTAATTATGTTTTGTTTGATTAAGGAGCACTAAAAACTGTAAACTAGAAGCTATAAAAACATGTATTGCAATGTTTATTATATTCATTGTATTTGGCACAGATTGTACATAGTTTAATTTTACTATACAAAATATGATGATATAAAATCCCTCTACTGAATGTCATTTCCTCAAACCAACTAGTCCAGCCCAACTCAAAACCGAAAGTGAAACTAATCTCCAGTGAACAGGGCTGGTTCATGGTTCAATTTGTTTGTTTACTTTTGGGTAACAAAACATTGGTCAGTTCTTTGAGACTGTCAAGTGCAGTTGTGTGGTTAAACAGTCTTAGTGCAAATTAATATACTTTAAATATACATAAGGAATTATATTCATGATGTGCCAAAAGTATATAAATCCTGCAGAAGACAGACGTGTGGTATTAATAATGTCAAAGCGAAACAGAAACATGGGTTTCAGTTTCCAATAAGTTAAAATGCTATTAAAACTACATTATCTAATCTGACACTCAGCTTTTAACCATGGTATAACAGTAGAACACATGCCTGAAGTTGGATTTTGATCCAAGAGTAATCTTGCCTAATACAAAGGTTACCAAAATGTAGATTTAAAAGCTGGAATAATAATAAATAACATAAGAGCAATTACACCAAAATGGTAGATTACACAAATACCACTGATCTATTATTATAGTTGGGTTTAATCTTTAGGCAGAAACATGTAAGTAGAGCAACAGTCAGTAGTGTAAAGTTTGTCGGTGCTAGTTGCTGCTACATATTCCTGGACATGGAGGAGAGAGACAGCTGAGAGGCATTAGATCCAGTGGGCGAAAAAGAGGCAATTTCAGGCGGATAAGGTTTCAGACCCATTTGCTTGTTGAAATACAGTTTGGATACAACAATGCGGCAGAAGTCCTCATTGTGTCTATGGCAGTTGTCCAGAAGCTTGCGAACCTTTGCAGTCCTTGTCAGTTGGTTCACAACCAGCTCGTAGTCCTCCTGCATAATTAAGCCCTGAGCTATGAGGGCATCCAGCGTCTGGTGCAGACATGCATCAGTCATTTGCAACACAATCTCCTCGCGACGGGAAGCAATCCACTCTTCAATTGGGCCTCTTAAAGGTGGGGACTGCCGTGGCGGTGTGCAACAATCTACATAAATAGAACAAACAGACTTAGAAAGGCTAAATAAACATTAAAATAATACATTATTAAGATATGCCTTCAAATGTCTATTGTTTACCTGTCTGCTGTGGTCCTGGCTTGAGTACATTGTTATCTGGCTGAGTCGAACACTCAGAGACAGGAATGTTTAACTTGATGTTCTCGGGGCTCTCATGTCCGTTCAGGTTATTGGTGGAATCGGGGGATTTCAAGGACTTCAGTGACTGAGGTTGCTCTGGGGCAATGAAGGACGACGGCAAAGCTTAAACAAAAGAAAGACATAATAAAAATTGTAAAATACAAGTATTCATTGATGATGTCTCTGCAGTGTCTGTCATTTATGTTCTTGTGTTACCGTCAGGAGTATTGCTGCTGATGAGAAAGCCTGGTAAAGAGATTTCAGTCTCTGGTGAAGAGCAACAGCCTGAGCCAGATGGAGGCCTTTCCTGGTAAATAACCACAGACATATTATTTTAAACTTAAGTGGTGCTTATACAACTGTAACTTAAAAATGCACACCACTTACCATGGGGTTGTGTCTCAGCATGTCTTCATCACTCCTCTTAGGACAGGGAAGTGATGGAGAAGCAGAGCAAAACTCTGCCCTCCTCTATATCAATAGAATAGAACTTTTTATGTCTCTAAAGCACATTTGTAAACACAAGATAAGATGTCTCTTTACTGACCTTTGACCTTTTGAGCTCTAATACTGCCTCCAGGAAGTCAATGTCATCAAAGCCTCTAACCATTGGCTCCAGCTCAACCAAACACTCTGAAGGACAAAAACATGACATAGTGAAACAGTGTTATCGAATCAGTCTATACAGGTTAACCACTCTCACTTGTTTAATAGACTCACTGAGAAAAGACGGCCGCTCATCTGGGTTCGCAGTCCAGCCGCTGGTTATCAAACTGATTAGTATCTCTCTGTTGGGAATGTGTGCAGGAAGACTGTCTAAGCTTGTGTCAGGGCGAGTACCACGGATCACACTGAACATTATCTGCATTGGGTTGTTCATCTCTAAATCACAAAATAATTATTTACAATAGCTCCAGTAGGGCCATGGTAAGTTTACACAGTTGAATACACACATACCATCATAAGGGATCTGCCTGGACAGTACCTCCCACATGATAATTGCATAGCTGTAAAGTCAAAAATAAAAACAGAAGTTAAAGTGACGTTTTCTTTAATATCAGGTTTTCCCCTAAAAAACAGAGGGACTTTTACAACTCGCTGCTTTAAAAACTGGACAAACTACTTTGAGGAACTGACTCACGCATTTTGGCAATCCAACTGTATTGCAAAATAACCTCTGAGGCATTACCAGAACAAAGATTAAATAGGACATCACACTTCCTTATTTTCAGGTTCGTAGTGCCTGATATGCTTATAACGTAAACCCAGGATCATTGACAGCCTGGTTTCTGTTCATTTGAGTTAAATCAAACACACAAAAAATAATACACTGTTTAAATAAAAAGTGTAGATGAGGTCTAACCTGTACATGTCATGTTTTACATCAGCACGTCTGCTCCTGTTATTGGCTGATGGCTCGTACTTCTCTGGAGGCATGTAAATTACTGTGCCTCCCATCTCTGTGGGTTTGGAACCAGAGCCTTTGCTAACTGACAAATGCCGCCATTTTGAAAGACCAAAGTCAGCAATCTGGAAAGAGGAACAAAAGTGAGAGGTACAAAAGTGTTACTCTGGGTTAAACATGCTGTTGCTACTGCTACTGCTACTGCTGCTGCTGCTGCTGTTGCTACGGGAGTGGGGGGTGGGGGTGTCAAATGGAAGCTCTGTCTATTAATTAATATTAGAGCGTGGCCCATATGAGGCTTCTTCTCAAATTTCTGTTTAGTCGAGGCTGACTACTACTGACCTTGACATGGTATTCTCCATCTAACAGAATATTTTGTGTCTTTAGGTCTTGATGTAAAAGGGGAGGGTTCATGTTGTGAAGGTAATTCACTCCAAGAGCGATCTCATACAGGATCCTCAGTCTTAATGGCCAAGACAGTTCAGGGTACATGTCCTTCTGTGTGGAAAGAAATAATAAAGAACATGCATTGTAACAAACGGCATGTAGTCAACCTTGCTGTTACATTTTCAGCATTAATATTAAAAGGCACAAAGTTTAAATGCGTATAAATTTCATATGCTATTGTGTTCAGAAAACATTCAAACCTACAGCTGCAATTCCTTGTCTACAGTTCAGGGTTGTAACAAAGTACAACTAGGACTATGTTGAGACAAAATAAAGGATGCAATAAAGATGCAACAGCAACACTGACCAAAATGGGTGTCACTTACACAGTATATAATAGGTGTAAATGCATATAGTAAATATAGATGTAATAAACATTGGATGGTTATATTATTTGTCTAGCTTATTTTGAGCAAAAGTACCTCATGAAGGAGCAGGTCCAAGGAGCCATTGCTCATGAACTCAGTGACAATGCAGAAAAACTCAGGCTCATTGCAGACACCAAAAATCTGTATGATGTAGTTAAACCTGGCCTTGTGGAGCACCTCGGCTTCCTTTAACAAACTGTTTCTCTCTCTGAAACACAGCACATTTTTCAGTTGTTAAAGAAAATGCAAAGTCACAATATAATAAATGTTATCATTGCCATCATTGTCAAAGCATGCTTTACACGGACCCTGCCTTACTCGCGTTGATAGAATAATTGCATGGTTACAGGCGCACTGATCAGAGAAGGGCACATACCTCTCTCCAAACGGGGAGTCCAGCTTGAGGCACTTGATGGCCACTGTGGTCCTCCAGTCCGAGTGCTGCGCCTTGAACACGGTTCCGAAACCGCCTCTGCTCAGGTAGTACAGGTCGGTCAGCTTCTGGTAAGGGATTACCGGTAAAGTGCTCACTAGACTGCCCAGATTCAGACAGCCCGTGCCCGCCTGTGCCTCCATGGCGCTATGTGGGCTTCTCACTGGCACTGTCTGTGTATTTATCATTCACTGGAGATGGCCTTAAAAGCAGAACTGCCCCTTTTGGCAAACAATGAGGAAGCGCTCCTCCATTCAGCAAAACCTACACGCCGCCGCCGTCATGTCGTGCTGCTTGCTAACACAAGACAAGCTAACTGTGCCTGGGAAAGAGAGAGCCCTGCACATAAAACTTAACCGAACACATCACCCAAATGTATTATTTCGTACAAAATACAATGATATAAAAGTATTCTCGTTGTTTATGTCCCGACAGCAGATCGGATCGTCTCAGAGACAGAACCAGCTGCGCCGCCGCTGGAGCAGGTGGGTTTGTTATGGCTGATGACGTGGAGGAAACGAGTTCATGACTGTAGAATTTTTGAGTACTAATAGTCTGTAATGAACACATGTTACGATTATGTGCATTATATTGTGTACTTATTTCGACCTTTACGACTTAAAATGTAATTTGCTACAAAAAAGTCTTATAGTTTGTTTCGGATATATCTCTTCTTTTTAACTGGTTACAAATGTGCTGTTATCACTGCTAATTCCCCACGAAAATGAACGCATCACATCACTAGTGGTCACGCTTGTTGTAACAGGCTGAAATTTCCCAGTGTGGAGTTTCCAACAGTCAAACATGGGTCAATCTTCATGAAATTTGAAATACAGGATAAGCTTTTCGTGAGATAAAAAAAAAAAAAGATTTCACTGGTACCCATTTTCTGGATTTTAGACCAACTTCAGACCATCAGGTTCCACCACACTATTTCTAAGTTTCTCTTGTGTGTGTGTGTGTGTGTGTGTGTGTGTGTGTGTGACATAAGCAAAGTTACATAGTGCACCTTTAATTAATTAATTAATTAATGTATTATTTATAATAAATTATTTTCTAATAAATTTGATTAATACATTTTGCATTTAATATTGTTCTATCATACAATTAAAGTACTCTTATTTCCCTTCACATAGAATGATAATGTCTGTTTATAAACTTTATTTTTATCTAGGGTTAAAAAAGATTCAGATTGTATTTGTAATTTGAAACTTACAAAAAGGCGTGGACAAAGTGCTAACTAGAGCTGTTTTGCATGAATACACAGTTAAGTGTTTTTGATGAGGTAGCAAAAGTAGGCCTATAAGAAACACTGCACTCACACCTGAATAAGTTACAAGATCATGGTGTCCCCCTGTGTCCCTGTCCTTTTCCCAGACAACTGGATCAAAAACAGGTGGTCTTCACTACAGAACCATTCATATGATGAAGATGTGCCTTCACTGTGTGTAAAAGGAGGTGAGCTACCTTGTCCCATATTGGAAGGTAGTACATGTGTGGAACACGGATCATCTTCAGTGTTGCAGGCAGGATATTCTGAAGGATGGACCTCAACAGTACTAGGCTACAAGATCCTAGAGAAGAGGAGCAAGTTTACGGTACTGAAACATTCTGCTGTATTATAACAATATTTGCAATAATATTATTTATATACAATAACAATAGGTTCTATAGTATTCCAGCATGTTTCTATCCTGTGCTATAGGTTTATAAGATCTTGGTAAGAGACAGTAAAGAAAGTTGGATAATTTTCAGAAGATACACAGATTTCTGTAAACTTAACAACAAGGTAAACTAAACATGAATGCAGCAGGTTAACTGATGCAAAAGTACACAATGTACATGTAACACGTTTGTGTATCTTGTTGCAGCTTAAAGAGTTGTTTCCCAGCATTCTTTTGCCATTTCCCCCAAAATGCAGGTTTAAAAATACCTTTGGAGGGGATTTTCTTAAAACTAGACAAATTCAGCTTCAGCTATTTCTGGAAAAGCTGGCATTACACAAAGACATGTATAATTGGTAAGTGTTGAGGAAGTTGGACTTTGTTTTACTATAGGTCTTACCTCATGTGTTTTTCAGTGACATTGTGCGACACTTCCTTCATTTGGTCAACTCTCCAGATCTATTTGAAAGTCTAGATGAAAGTCGGGTGAGCTCACATCTCTCTGAGAATGAAAAGCAATACCGAAACGAGAAGTCTGCTGTCAGTAATTTGTTGATGTTTTGGGAACAGGCCTTTTGTGAGTCACTGGAGGAGATTAACCATCGCCTCCAGAGGGCGCTGTCAGACAAACAGAGAGAGGTGGACGTTTTGAAGGAAACTTTGGAGAAGAGACAAAATCACTTGGAGCATCTGATGAAGAAAATCAAATGATATTATTTTTACACAGGGCAGCTGTGGTTCAAACATTGTGAGGTAGGATATTTTGAAGTTTACACAACCAGATTCATATACCTCTGTATTATTTTATTTGGGGTTTTGTGGAAGTGTGTATTATGGATCCAAATAAAAGCAGAAATGTGCACCTGAACAAAGGAGGAAGTTTATGATGTTTTCAGGGGGTCCTTGGGTGAGATAAGATGTCTTCCTTCTCTCTCTGTTAATTTTATGGTACTAATGTAAATACAATCCAACAGGTTAATTTAAATTTTTATGGATATTTCAACATCTCACACAATTTTACATAGTAGACAACTGAAAATTGCATTAAACCACTCCTGAGTTATATATTTAATTCAGTGTAGCTGCAATGGACCCTGTTTTGGACTAAATCATTTTTATTAGGCTTCTCAAGTTTCACTTTAATAAATTCACCTTTTTTATAAAGACTGTGTGAACTACTGTCTGCATCTTTCATCCATGTTTACACATCGTAGGCAGGGGCCATTTAAAAACCTGATCAAGCTTTTAGCATCTGACAACACTGACACACATCTGACATTTTCATTGGAAGACATATATATGAGGTTGCATGTGTAACCTACAACTGTGTAAGCAAGTGTAAGCAAAACTATTTTAAATATCCAAATGTTCACAATAAGATTTATTATAATACTAGTCAGGGGAGACAGCTCATGCACCAAACGTCAGAAGCCTGGGATCTAAAAGAACAGAAAAAACACGTCGAAAGCGTAGCATACATTAATCTTTGAAGATTTTCCACTTGGAAAACGGGATAAATTTACTAGAACATTCACACCGATAAACCAATAGAAAAAAACAAAACAAAACAAAACAAACAAACACACACACACATGTTTGGCATTTGTGCATATTTTATGCAGGCTGATGAGTTACAACAAAATCAGACCTTTATCTAATTGTGGCTCAATAGCAGAAAAGGCTACAGTAGGTCACGCAAACTATTATGACTATTATGATTATGATTCATATCATAAGCATAACAGTGATGTATAGTTTTTATTTCCAGATTTACAGTGACCCTGTTTCTTAATGAGAAGATGGCGTTGCTATGGCAGCCTATGTACATCCTTTGTTGTGGCCGCGCGGCTTTACGCGTGGGCGGCGCAAAAAGCTCGTGGTGGACAACTGCGTAGTAGTTTATAAAAAAGGTTACTGACTTCACACAACTAAAAGAAAAGGTGAATCACGGAGGTAGTGTGGGTTTGGTTACAAGGAAAATCCAGCCATCAGTTGCACCTCACCTCTTGAGCTGCAGTCTTGAGCTGCAGAGTCCATCACCGCAATGAGGCGCGTAGCGGGAAAACACTTGTTGTGCCTTCTGCTGATCGCCTTCCCTCTGGCCTGGGCAGTGTACACGAAGAAAGACGCCAGGACGACTGAAAACGACACAGGTCAGTCTTTTATGACCAGTTCTGGATTGCTGTTTCAGTAACAGATTTTCAAGTTACATTTGCTATTAAATAATTCGGTTAAAGTGCATATGTTATTTTAAAAAATATTTTAGCACGTGATTAGCCAAGGCCTATCATACCTATCATCTTTGATAGAGTGACAGTCTGTGGGTACCATCAAAGAAAAGATTTGGCTTTCCAAGTACCACCAGGCCTAAATCTAGTGTTAGATTATTTTCGGTCTGATCTAGGGCTAATACAGGTCTAAATGCGGACTGCATCACTCCCACTATAGTTCTAAGAAACTATCCAAAGGAGGACAAAAAAGTGGACAAAATGAACTCTAAATTAGGCAAATAAACAGACTGAAGAGCTGTCAAAGTTCCAACCTGAAGCAACTTATGCTACATGTACCACAGTTTGACAATCACATGTTTTAATTAAAAACCTATACAGTCTAACTATTTGGATTTGACCAGTTCTCCCGTTAAGTCACTTGTACTTTAAAACAAGTAAATGAATGTTTTGTTCAGATCAAAGCCCAGAGTCTGTCAAAAATGATGGACAACTCTTAAGTAAGTGATGCTGAAGTCTAAAGTTCATTATGGGCTGGAGTTTTGTCTGGAGTTTTGTCTGGAGTTAGACACAAAATGAAAAGTTTGGACTATGGCATCTGGCAAGTCATTATAGCTCTTCTTTCTAATGTGAGCTTTAGGGACCTCTAAAAACGTCTTAATTTATTATAAACTTTATTTATACATTTTTTTGCAAAAATGAAAAGATATTTGATAAAAAGAATGGACAACACAATGGTTTGTATCTGACCAATTGTGCCTACAAACATGAAACATTTTACGTTTTCCCTATAAAATTGATGTCTTAATGTGTATAATTTAAGTATTGATGGACAGATCCAAATATTTGCCTTATTGAAAGATTTTCAACTACTCTAATAAAAGCAAAATGATTTTGAATACGATTCATATCCACCTTGTCTCCAAGAGCATCTGGATATTGTTTATTTGTCTCCTTTAAACAAGAGCTTTGATTTGGCAGTGTCTTCAGTGATGGACATGTTTATGTTGTGTAATGATTGAGGAACATTCATATTTGGACCACATGGTGCAATTCTCCATCAGCTGTGGGACTGCCTTTTAGACTCAGGACATGAATCAGATGTATACCCTCACATGCCAGGGATGTCATATTAAATTAAGCACATTGCATAAGTTGTCTCTCTTTATTTAGGTTCAAATGGAAAGGATCTAGCTTTTGAAATAGCACTGTCTGGTTTAATGTTGTTTTTCTGGATCAAGTAACACAGCTCATTGGAAACCTATTAGTACCAGGTGTAACCCAGCCTACTTCACAAATTGCCCTCAGGAACTGACCAAAATTACATTCAGAATGACCAGTACTGCAGCTACCACCATTGTCAACCACAAAAAGATGTAACAAAATAGCATCTTTATCGCTTTTCATTTACTTAATTTTTCATCTGAAAAACTGTTGGACCAACAGTGCAATATTGCACTTCTTTTTACATAAAGTTGTTATTTAGTGATTTAGACTAGTTTATGGTCACTCTTTCAACTGTACTCTAGGTGTGTTTAAACCCTTCATCAGGGGTTCAAGTCTGAGTTACTATGGAAATCTGAGAGCAGCTTATATATCACATATGGTTTGCACGTGAGCACAATAATTTGAAATACTCAGCTACGCCCACAAAACCTGACATGGTAACAGACGAGACTGATGGCTACGTAAATAGCATTTGAAGAACAAATTAGCAGGGCATTTTTATTGCAAGACAAACAGATAAATGTAAAGACTTGCACGTGTTGTGTTTTGTCAATTTTATATTTAATTTTATTAAATGTGTTTCTTGTATCTTTAGTTTGGGGCCAGGGAAAAAACAGACGGCTGTTTGCAAGAAGAAAGCTCATTCTACAACAGGAAAGACATGTTCCTGTAAGTATTCATATAGCAGTTTCCTCATATTTGTAAAAAGTTTGTAAAATATTCAAAATTTCATAGAATTCAAATTCTTCTAAATTCATGTCAGACTCTATGCCTCCCTACTACTTAAGACTCAGTCAAAGACACAGAGGTTTAGAACAGCCTCCCAGCTTCTATCAATCTCACATTAAACATATTTAAAATGAACACTGGCTCAAGAGAAACCAGATCTGTACTCAATAAGTGTTTTTTTTGTGTGTTTTTTTTTAACTCTAATGTTGTTATGTGAATACTGTTGTTTGTTATTTGGGCTTCAGACAAAAAGTAGCCATTGGGCTAATTCTGTCCTATTTCATTAATATACATTGTCCCTTTAATGCAATTTGTTTTGTTTTTCTCTCAAAACAACACATTTGTACAAATGTTTCACACATGCCTCTGTGTGGGTTAAATCTTGATTTTTTCTGATGTGTGTTTAGCAGAGGCTGCACACGGCCCTCCTGACCCCTCCCCGTCGTTGCAGTCGTCTGATGGAGAGCTGCTCCAGTCGGACCCTCTGCTGTGACCCCTGTGCCTCCTGTCGCTGCCGCCTCTTCAACACCATCTGCCACTGTTGGAGGACCAACCCCCTGTGCCTAAAGAGGACTTAGATGGGCCTATAGCCCAATGTGAGGCCCAGAACACTACTGTACACTTTATCAACTTAATCTTTATCACACAGGAGGGTTAATACAAGCCAGTAAAACATCTGGAAATCCAAGTAACAGTAATATGGACTGGTATATGTAATTTTCATAATACATTTTCCTTATGTAATTTCAACATGAAAACTAAATAATGCATCATTTGGAAAAAAAAAACATGCTAATATTATTACTTCACATGTTTGCATGTGAGGATTGTTTTCACACAAGGCGATCACATTTATCTTAATTAGTAAAGAAAGCACCACTGTTTTTATCTTTGTAAGGTGGACAGGGTAAGTAAATCTAAAGTAAATATGTGAAACAACACTCGCACGCACGCACACACATATAATTTGACCAATAATATACATCTGGTTTTTGTCCTTAATTTAGATGCGTGTGATACTCAATGTATTTTAACATCAGCAGTTTAATGTGATATGTATTATAATCCTATTAAAACCCAGATACTGATCATGTTTTTGTATTAGTCTGGTTTCTTTATCTGTTAGACTGAGCAAAGACAATATTTGCATACTCATACCTTTGGTCCACTCCTCCAGTAGCAGTTTGATGAATTAGTTTGAGAGTGATTGGCGAAGGTATCTGTCTGAAGCAGTTCATCAAAACAGTCTTCAGCAAGTTTTTTAACATTTAATGGTAAATGGATGTGTATAGAGGGAAACATGTTAAACATCCCCTTCTTAAAACACCTCAGTTTAATGATGACAAATGTTGCACTGATTCATCGCCAGTTTAACATCCAAATCTAGTTTATTTACTAGTATATAGCACATTTTATAAACAAAACTGTTTCCAAAGGTTGCACTTATAATATATAAGATAACACTAAAAACAACAAAAGGTATACAACAGAGGGTATAAATACTCAATTTAACCTTGCCATTCCTAAACAAATAAATAGGAAATAAAAGCAAACTCATAAAATAGCAATAAAAAAATAAAAACAATAAAAAAATTATAACTAATATAATATAATAAAAATAAATAAAAGACACCAAAGATCACACAACTCATGGGGTGTTAAAAGCCAGAGAATAAGTGGCTCTTAGTTTATTAAGCTTAGTTTATAAACACACACAAGAAACATGCCCCATCCTAAAATCAGCCTAAATAGAATGGAAACAGTTTTTAAGGAAGTCAAGACGATGCGTGACTATTACTTGAGGGGAAAGCAGAAGTTAATATTTTATTTAAATCTAGTTGCTCTTGCAGATAATTTCATTTAGCATCATGGCAGTATGTCCAGAACTCATCTTTAACACAGATCATGGATATTTGGAGGGTCTTGTTCGTGGGATGAAAGCTGGGATCCTGTCACAGACTGACTATCAAAACCTGGCCCAATGTGACACACTTGAAGGTGAGGTCTTCATTTAGTATGAACAGCTACCATCTGAGAGCATATAGAGCTACATTTTATCATAAGGATCCCTTTTGTACAGGTTTTGTGCTGTGCATGCCAATTAACATATCAGTTAAGATGAAGACCACTGACTTGTACTCTTGGGTGTCCAATTTATTTATGAATTTTAATAGAATTTGAGACCCAATGGATGAAAATGAAAATTTAGTTAGTTTTCATCTAAAGATTTCATTCTTTTTTAATGAGAACAAATTATAATAAATAAATAAATAAATAAAATAATGGTGGAATATTTTTAGCATGTAACCTAGCCTTACATGTACTACACAAAAAAGCATAATTTGCATAAATCTGTTCTAAGAATTTGAAAGGTCACCTGGTTTTGAGTAAAAAAATGCAACAAAAAATCTGGAGACAAATTTGATTAGTCAAAAACATTGTCATTCTCTAAGGTCTTTAAAATGAGGTCATTTTTGCAGATCTGAAGCTGCAGCTGCAGAGCACAGACTATGGTAAACTCCTGTCCTCAGCCGGTCAGGGTCTGTCTGTGTCTCTGATGGACTCCAAACTCAAGGAAAATCTCACCACTGAATTCAGATGTTTGCGCTCCAATGCCCTGCCCCAGCTCTCAACCTTCATGGACTATATCACGTAAGATACTTTCCTCAAGGTTAAGTTCATAGAAATAAGAAAAGGGGTAATGCTGTTATATGGTGGTTCTTTTCAACAATCGCCCACTATGCAAGAAAAAGTACAAATATATACAAATTTGAATTAGGAAAAGAATTAGTAAAATATTACATGTAAACATACAAGTTCATATATAGACTTTCTACATATTGGACTGATCAATGGATGTAGGTTTTACGGTAAAAAGGTTAAAATTTAAAGAGAGATAGCTTCCATGTCCTCTCATATATATACTCCAAAATGTTATCATTGTGAATGTATCAGTTTATTTGCAAATATCCATGTGTGTTGCCATAGCTACAGTTACATGATTGACAATGTGGTGCTGTTAATCACTGGGGCACTGAGGAAGAAGGAGGTATCGGAGCTGTTGCCACGGTGTCACCCGCTGGGTGTCTTTGACCAAATGGCTGCAGTGGGCATCGCACGCACTCCCACTGAACTGTACTCTTCCATCTTGGTCGACTCCCCTTTAGGTAAGAGCACAACTCAGGAATAGAGATTGTCACAGAGGGTCAAATCTAAGAAATATAAAAACAACTGTAACTCAGCTACATGTAATCAGTATTTCAAACTCCAAAAAGAAAATATTTCTTCAAATTATTACAATATAAATGTTGATTTGATCAAGTTAATCACATGCAATAGTTAGATAATCTGTGTGGGTGAAGTGTCTTGCCCAAGAACACAACAGTATGTAGTACAGCCACTCTTGCCCACCAATACCTGGTATATAATCAAAGAAGGCTACTTACCTGGCTCAAACATGGTTCACCTCTAAGATCAGATTGGGCAGACTGGGCATTCTCAAAGTGGTGATATAGTCTGTTATAAAAGCAGTGCTGAAGTGAGTTGCTAAGGAAGGACTAATGGATCAAATCATTAAGTAACTTTGACTCTGAGATTTTTGACACAGGCTAATCATTTTCATTTGTTTCCTGTTAGGTCAGTTTTTCCAGGATGCTGTGACTGACAGCAGTCTGGATGAGATGGAGACAGAGATCCTGAGAAACAAATTGTATAAGGTAACTATTATTATTATTATTAATAATTTTATATATATATATATATATATAAATGTGTTTCTCACCTTCCACGGTGGTAGGTCTCTCTCACCCTCATTGAGCTCGGGTCCTCTACCAGAAGCCTGGGAGCTTGAGAGTTCTGCGCAGTATCTTTTCTGTTCCCAGTACTGCACTTTTCTGGACTGAGATGTCCATTGTTTTTCCCGGTATCTGTTGAAGCCACTCTTCCAGTTTGGGGATTACAGCCCCGAGTGTCCGATCACCACAGGCACCACTGATGCCTTTACTTTCCAGGCTCTCTCCAGCTCTTCCTTGAGCCCCTGGTATTTCTCTAGCTTCTCGTGTTCCTTTTTCCTGATATTACCATCGCTTGGTATTGCGATGTCCACCACCACGGCTCTGCTCTGTTTCTTATCCACCACCACTATGTCTGGTTGGTTCGCCATCACCATTCTGTCATTCTGTATCTGGAAGTCCCACAGGATCTTGGCTCGGTCATTCTCCACAACCTTTATATATATATAATATATATATATATATATATATATATATATATATATATATATATATATATATATATATATATATATATATATATATATATATATATATATATATATATATATATATATATATATATATATATTATTATTATTTATTTATTTATTTTTTTCTTTTTCAAGGCATATTTAGAGTCCTTCCATGCATTTTGCAAAAGCATCGGTGGTCCCACTCAAGACGTTATGTGTCCTGTTCTAGAGGTACAACACTGAAGTCGATACGGCCAATATTGTGATGGGTGTGTCTTTCTGTGATATAGTGTGTATTGGTCAGGAAAACCTATAGACCAAACATAATTTTCTTTGAACATAAAAGTATGCACCACTATATTATAAACTTTACAAATCATCACATATATTTTAGTGCTTGTGGACAATAATTACAAGTACTTACATTTCTTTTAAACGTGCATTACATAACTTTTTTCCATGGAGGGTGTGCTACCTTCTTGTCTCCATGGACATGCCTTTGCTTTTTCTGGACTAGCATTAAAGTTATCTCTTGTATTTATTAAATTACAGCCCTGTAACTTGACCTGGTAATGTCACCTGCTTGTCTCCAGGGAAATAGTTAGGCTTAATGCCGTACTGTGGAACTTTCCAGAAAAAGCTATTTCAAGTGACCCTCAACTAGAAAAGTTCCATAGTGCACCTTTATATGTTACCTATTCAGAGTTGTGTTTTTGCAGTTTGAAGCTGATAGGAGAGCCTTCATCATCACAGTGAACTCCTTTGGAACAGATCTGAGCAGTGCAGACAGACATGCACTCTATCCCACTTGTGGTAAGCTTCACCCTGAGGGGCTGCAGCTCCTGGCCAAAGCAGAGGACCCCAGTCAGGTCAAATCTGTGGCAGAGTGTTATCCAGTGAGTGATCAAAACCCTATGGCCCATCTATCACTGTTGTATTTATTTGTACATGAGTGAACCTAAACCCTTATACACTTCCCACAGGAGTATAAAGTGGTGTTTGATGACCCTGAACCTGGATCTGATTACAAGACCTTAGAAGACAGATTCTTCAAGCAGGAGGTAATGACAAGTCGTAAATATTAACACCTCTGCTCTGGTTATGCAGTGGCATATTCCGATAATATTTACAAAAATATTTTTTGTATAACCCTGTAGGATGTGTTATGTTAAACAGTGCTACACTACAACTTACTGAAAAACTGAGAAATGCTATGGATCAATTGATATCTCTATTACCTTGTGCTTTTCTATGTGTCCTAGAAACAATCTGACCATTCATCAGTTATGGTTTCTTGGTCATTCAAATTCAGATAAATGGTCTGTTGGAAAGTATATTGTCACACTAAATTAATTGTTTTTGTTCAGCATGTTGCATGATGTAACAATATCAAAATCTCTCCGTATGATATTTTCATGATATATACATCTCACGGTACAATATATATTACAACATTTTGTGGAGGCAAACAAAACTGTGAATATGCAATTTTTTTTTCTTAAAATACACGACTTAATACTAAGAAGTAAGATTTAAGGTGCTTATAACAGTTATTTCTTCATGTAGTCTGCTCTGAAGTGGAGCAAAGGATCATGGTCTATGCAACTCCCTCTGCTTTTTAGCTTTTGTTGCACCATAACTATTAATTCAAGCAAAGAGACTTATATATAGATATTATTGTGAGACCTGACAACACGATATCAAGATATTTCGGTTATTGTTACATCCTATATTAAAAGATTTAAGCTCAGCCTAATCTCTCCAAAATCTGTGCCAGTTTAAACGTAAACAATCAACAACAAACAAACAAACGTGCATTCTTTGAGGTCTCAAAATAATCACACGGACAGGATAGGACGTTGTGTATGTAACATCTCAAGTCTTTAAACACCACGTATTTCTGTCCATGATTAATGTGTAAATTCTTGGAGGGATGCCAATAGCATGTTCTCTAACTATAGCAATTTCCTGCTGTTGTTGTGAGATTCGTCACTGTGGTAACCTTGGTGATAACACTGCCCAGTTGATCCAATGTAAAAAGTGAAAGCTGTATCCAAAAGGGCGCAGACTAAACATGTGTATGTGTTTATTTCAGGTGAAGCTGAATGCACTGGCTTTCCTGCAACAGTTCCACTTCGGAGTATTTTATTCTTATATCAAACTAAAAGAGCAGGAGATTCGGAACATCATATGGATCGCTGAGTGCATCACACAGAGGCAAAAGTCAAAGATTAACAGTTATATTCCCATTTTCCAGTGAAAATACATGATGCTTTCACAGTTATTTTCACAAGATGCTTTCACAGTTATTGGCAGAACATGAACAAGCAGTCCTAAAAAAACAAGTAACAGTATAGTATAATAATATGAAATTGTTTATTAAGAATGATTCAGGCTTAACTTATTGTTTATTAAAGGTCCTATATTACACAGAATGGATTCTTGTGAGCTTCTCCTCAAAAACATACCTGCACTTGTGTTTTGTTTCATTCATACATGTTTGAGTAATCCTGGTTTATTAGTCTGTAGTCTCAAAAGCTCAAAATGCTCTACTCCACCTTGTGGTGTCATGAAACTGTAGTTTTGACGTTAACAGCTCCTTTTACGTTTAGTTCAGTAGAGACAGGAAAATCCAGGGATGAACTTTTCCAAATGATTCTAGCAAACCTGAATGGAGTTTAAAAACATAGTGGAGCACTTCCTTTATTAGTGCGTGACATCACAAAGTGGAACAGAGTGTTTACTGTTTAAGAGAAGAACTCAGCCTAAATATACAGGGTTTGCATGTTAAACTAAACACAAGATCAGAAAATATGGGCCCTTTAAGAACCACATTAGCTTCTGCAACAGTGTCAGCTTCTCTTCCTGAGGCTAGTAACTACTTATTTTATACTCATTTTGAGGTTAGGAGTTAGGGTAATAATGAAACAAGCCTGAATCTTTCTTCATAAACTATTTCTTCATTATTATTATAAGTCATTTGTAAAGGCTATTCAGTTAAACGTGTCATTGTTATTAAGTGTTATAGAGATAATATATGCTGGTGAAGAATCCAGTGGCGTGAAAAAAGAGTCGTGTTTTTGCTATCACCAATGTCTATCCCTGAAATAACAAAGAAATCAGTGAACATGTTTCAGCTAGAGTCACATAAGACATAGTTCTGGGAAAAATGAGCTAAAGGGACTCCACTGGCACATGGACAGGAACTTACTGAGTTTCATCCGCTAATATGATAAAATGTTGTATATTTAAGGCTTTTACTACAGTGGAATGGAACTAGTACTAACTTACTGCCTGCTACTACTACTATAGCTTTTCTGCTGCATGCCATTAGTACTATAACCTCTAAAACTGAAGTCCACATCAATATTATCTATATGTAACTTGCATCATGTAGTGCAGTAATTTAGGTTGTGGTGATTCACATAAATAATATTTTGTGGTACACTTTCTTTGCATTTAATTAAAGCCAATTAAAGCACTATCTGTACGTTTTTTTGTTTTTGTTTTTTTTTTTTACCAGAAGATGGCAGATGTTAAACCTGTTCCCCCTCTCCTCACCTGGCCTTTGTGTAGGCTCACGTGCTCTCATCTTCTTCTGCTAGGCCAAAGCTGGTACACTGTCAGACAGCAGAGAATGTGAACTCTAAAAACAGCTGAGTCATTCTAGATTAAAGCTGTATGCAAATAAATAAGACCGGTCCCATTGATGTTTCGCACCCAGAAACATGAAC